TTCCTTCCTTCCTTCCTTCCTTCCTTCCTTCCTTCCTTCCCTCCCTCCCTCCCTCTTTCTCTCTTTCTTAATATTAATAAGTCTTAAGGAAGGTGCATATTTGGAAGAGCTCACTTGTTGGTTTCAAGTGAAGCAATATATTTAATAGCAACTCAATGATTATTCTACCCAGTAAATATTTATTAACTGTCTACTATGTGTTAAGAATATTGTTGCTAGGGAGAAGACATTGGACAAAATCTGAAACCTGTTCTCATAAACTGTCAGACGTGTCCTATGAGCATTTGCTTTTCTTTCATTATTACATGGTGAGGAGACAAACAAGAAGAGTCAAGATGACCAAATTTCCAACTTATGCAACCAGGTGACCTGCAGAGGCTTTGGAAATGATGGCAGTAAAATATGCAGGCAAATATGATTTCAGTGTGAGTGCCCAGCTGGGTCCACTTTCCTGGATAGTCTTAAACCTATTACTGAATATAATGGTGTATTATTTAGCTGGATATGGTGGGAGAAAGAGAGGAGAGAGAGAGGAAGAAGGGGAGAGAGAGGGGTGGGGGAACAGAATGAGGTACCTATAAGACAGGCAAATGGAAATACACAATATGAGATTTTATATATATATCTAGATAGATAGATATATCTGTCTATATATATATATATATATATATATATATATATATATAAATCCTTGGACTGAGATAGAGATTTACGAGACATAAATTTGTGTTCACTGAAGCCCTGGCTATTATATAGACACTTTTGCAGAGAAAGTAACAAAGAGAATAAAAAGATCTACATTCTGGAAGCAACACTTAAGGAACAGGTGGAAGAAATATCTGCTCACAAGACTGAGCTATAGCCTAGAAATGGGAAGAAAAATTGTTAGGTGATTTTACAAAAGTAAAGAGAGAAGAGAATTTGAAGGAACAGGTACTGGAGTAGAGCATCAAATGACACAGAAACATCGAGTATAACCTTTAACTTTAGATACCAATAATAAGAAAATAATCTCTGAAAACCTAACTCTTCCCTGTATCTACGTTGATCTCTGATCTTAACTAATGTTGGGTGCTGCATGTATTTAGATCAATGTTTCACAACCAGCTGTATTAAAATCACTTGGAAAAAAATACCCTCAAACCCTCTTCAGATAAATTAAATCATAAATCAACTGAAAAATCACTGATTTGGACCAATAGAATACTAATCAGTTGGAGCACAACATAGTGTAATTGTTACGAGTATGAACCTGAGTTTTAAATCCTACTGTGTGGACAGAGCTGACTCTATCTTGATGCTAATAACCAACTTAACTTCTGAATAAATGAACCCAGCCTGACCTCTGACCCCCCTCCTATTCCCTTTGGTGAACTCTGGAATGAGTACAGATATGTCTGGCTAATCATGAAATTTTCATTAATCCTTCCTGTGGGGCAAGACGCCTTTGATTTTACCTTTCCCTTGGCTCACCCTGGTGCCAGGGCCTCCTGGTGTGGGACCTCTTGGCTCCCCCCGACCACCCACACATTCCTCTCCAACATGTAGGATCGTCTCTAAACAAAGGGTGGTCCGGCGGGTGGAAGACGAGGAAATCTGGCCACGCTGCAGCCCCCCAGCACCCGGTTTCTGCACGCAAGTCAATTCCCCATTCAACTCATTAACGGACAAGCTGGACTTGTCCGCCTCAATTCTTTGGTCTCTTGCTCTTGACGTTTTGGGGGGGCTGCTTTGTAAACATGGCCTTTTCTCTGAACACCTACTAGCTCTGCTTCTATGTGTTTACTTGACATGAGGGAAGTCATTTACCTCGGGGAGGGCCTCTATCTCTTCATTTCAAAATGGGATAACTGGAATACATGAACACATCACAGCAAAGGGCTTAGCAGAATGCCAAGCGTATAATAAATGCTTAATTCACTTTGAACCACTTTCTTCTGCAAGTGTCAGTCCAGATTCTTAAGCTGCCAGTTTATGACCAAGGGATTTAAGCACCGAAATTACCTGGGTCTTCTCCTTCATCTTCTTTTATTTTGTTTAATCTTTTTGAAGCATAAATATTTACAAGTTGATGATCTGGGTTCCACGCAAAGCCCATTAGTAAAGCCTCTTCCTAGAGTGGATTTCAAATTGGAATAATAATAGCTCATTTGTCTCAGTACTTACTGGGCATCAGGGACTTTTCTCGGCATTTTATTACAACGATTCTACAAACAAGGTTCTATTCCTGCCCTTATTTTATAGATGAGAAAGTGAGACTCTGGGAGGTTAAATAACTTGCCTGGGCATCTCCCTCAGAAGCTCGGCTTCCCAATTCTTAACCACCCTGCACTACGGCCGTGTAGCTGCAAGGACTTGGGGAAACAAGGAAACAGACGCAGGAAGGGCGCTCATCCCTCCCGGTGGCCCACACCTGCCCTGACGCGGGAAAGGGCTCGCGTTTCCTTTGCACTTTCATGAGAAACCGAGGGCAGCAAACCTGGGCCTTCTGCCCAGTGGCGTATTCTGAATATTTTATCATTCTAATTTCTTAAAGTAATTTGATTGAAAGAGTCAAAACATGTATGGAATGGAAGCTGTCATAAGGGCTTTTAGTATTTGCTCTCCATTGAGTTGAGTCAAAATATCTCACCTTAAAAATCACAGCTTGGTCTTCATAAGTGAGCTAGGCTTTCCAAGGTAAAAGGTACCTACCGCCTCACATACTTTTGCCACACCATCGTTAGAGAATGAGTTTTAGTTTTGGAAGCTATTATATAACTCTACATAAAATATGACGACAAGGCCTCTTATACATATACTGTGATTTTGGCACACTAACTTTTTGCTTAGATTAATTTGGATTTTTTCCATTTTTTTCTCTTGTAAGGCGAAATAAAGCTTCCTTTCAGAGTTGAAAACACATTGTATTGTTTCCATTGCCTCTTTGATGAGATTTATTTAAATAAGAGTGGAGAATTGGGTAGTACATGACTTATTTTATTCTTTAAAAAAATATTTTTTCCCCACAAGAACTTGTTTTGATTTAGAACAGAAAAGTTCTATTCTGTTTTTTTTTCTTAAACTTATTATCTGTTGATTTACCATATGTTTGTAAATAAGTTTGTAAAGTAACAAAATAGTCATCATGTAAACCAATCAAAATCTACGAAAGTACTGAAATGGAACCAATGAAAAGAGATCATAACACTGAGGAGAAAATAAGAAGAAAATTAGAATGAACCAGCCTGTTTTAAAAAGTCTGGCAGTGTGACAACTGAGCATATAAGATTTGGGGAATATTTTATGTCCCTCTTCTTTTTCCATATTTGTCAGCTCAAATGAAAATTCTGTTAGCTATTGCACTAAGAGCAATTTCCTAGAGAAAACAAGTCTTCAACTTATATTTGCATCACATTTGGGATTTTCACATTACCTTTCCATTTTGTAAAATTCAGAAAGTAACTCACATAAAGTAAGACTGTCATCTGAACTATAATTTCCATGCTGTCTTTGCATCACAGAATGACTGAATTACTTTGCTAATCTATAATAGTGTTATCCACGTCTTGTATGCAAAAAAGAAAAAAAAAAGGAGTGACTCTTACATGTGCCTAACCCAATGGTTCAAGTTAATTAGACTATAATGTGCGCATTTTTAGTTATACAATATTTTTTATAATAATTATATGCTATGGAGACATCTATTAAAAGACTAAAGTGATCATTTAAATGCAAAATCCCTGATAGAACTCCATTATATTTTTCATACTAAATTAACATTATAGTCTTCTAATGGATGCTTTAATTAGGCATTGATGTTATCAGCAATATTTGGCAAAATAAAATCTGTCACTGTGAAATACTCATTAAGTTCCACTTCTGTCAGTCAATATTAAGTGTTTTCTGAACCTTAGGATTTAAGTAAGAAGCTAAAAGCTAAGTGAGAAACTGAAGACATGCTCAGACACACCTGCTTCCTCCTATGTGCCGCACAAAAACACATGCTCTTTAGGTGTCTTTTGTGTTTTATCACTGCCAAACAACCAGCTTCTTTTTAGTCACTCATGCTCAGGGGCATTCCATTAGAAGGCTGTCCTCACGCTGCACAGAATAAAGAACAAAAGGCCTATACTAATCGAAATACACGTCTTTCAGGAAGCAACTCAACTCACATGTGCATGTGGGCCTGTTTGCATGCGCCGTTAGAAGAATTCCCAGGTCAGCGCTGTTGGTGAGGGCAAGAAGCAAGGATCAGAAAGGATCAAGACATCAGCTGAGATGCCGGGACAGAAAACTGATACTCAAAAGGCGTGGGCAGCGCCCCCGTGGTAAGCGATCACACGCTAAGCAGAGCCACGCTCAAAATAAAGCTGAGACGCTTACCAGTAATTTTCCCATTGGCTTCCAAGGGAGGCTGCCAGCTCACAATGACACCGCGAGGCTTCCCTTCTCGAGTAATGACTGTCAGATCCTTGGGAGCAGAGGTTGGGGCTGCGAGGGGAACAGAGACAAGGCCTTGTCATTGGATGTGAAAGAATACAGACATTTATGGGACTTCTCATCGCGGTGTTGACACTCAGAATCTATCGTGCAGTTTATCACGCTTATTTTACCATTTACAATTCCTCTCAAGTATGTGAGTTAAATAAGCAAACAAACAAAAATACAGAAGTTAACGCTTCCTCATGGAAGTGAAATGACTTCCCAAGGAGCGAGAGTAAGTGTGGACGCGGAGGGAGAAAGTATAGCTGGTGTTTTCAAGTGAGCACTGCACGAAAAAGGCGAGGACGTAAAGAACAAACACATGGGCACACATGGGCACACACTTTGTGAGGCTGACGGCTACATGTCTCCAAGAGACAGAATTCTGTTGTGACTGTAGGGTTAGAAATGAAACGTCACCTAATTCTATACTTCCTTAAAGCCCCTTGCCTAAGAAAATAATACATTAAAAGCAGGTCAAAACATCTTGCTTTGGTAACAGACCAGTTATCTCCTAACAAGAAGGCAAAGAAATCTTTGAAAATAGAGCAGGTGAGGAATTTATGGTATGAAATTAGATGGTAGGGAACCTTGTCTTTCTTAGAGCAGAATTTGTCACCCCAAAATATGCCTTTTTGGTATAGGACTTATTTTAGGCTGATGTAAATACACAGAAGCTTCATTTCTTTAATATGACTTTTTCTCCTCTATTTCCTTTTCATTCAAACTGACCTCATCTGCCCCCTTTTCCCTTGCACATCCACTCCCTTAAGCATTAAGCCTCAGGACGCTGAGGTTCTGACCAGCGTTAATTAATCTTAGGAACAAAGTCTCGGGTCTGTTGACCACAGAGACAGAGTTCGGTCAACCTAGAGATAACACGTAGGCCTCAATTGTGTTTCAGCTCCAGGCCCAGAAAAGCAGCGAAATCAGACAAAGTGACTTCATGGGTGACATTAGGACCAGATGCACTGATCAAGGATCCCCTACCCTGGTGACGACCAACCAGTAGAGACCACAACCCTGAAAGGACACACCTGGAAAGCTGTGAATGTTAGCACATAGAGATTCTGGTATTGGGATCAATGGCTCAAATGTTTAGAAATATCATATGAAATGCACACTATTTCCTAATATTTGGAAAAGAATGTGCTCCTAACCACTTCAGTTATCCTACTGAGCCAAGCAGAACAGCTCTGTTCTGTTCCTCTCCAATCTCATGGGTTCTGCCTGAGGTGGTCTTTTAGAAATTCTTCATTGACTACCCATCCTCTTTGGAGTAAATGTAAATAAATAATAATAAATGATAAACACCAGGCCCTGCAGGATGTAAACCATACTTTTTTTTTTTTAAATTCTCACTGAGGATATTTTTTCCATTGCTTTTCAGAGAGAGGAGAAGGGAGGGAGGGAGGGAGAGAAACATCGATGGGAGAGACACATGGATTGCTCACCTCCCACATGTGCCCTGACCAAGGCTGGGGAATGAGCCTGCAACCAAGGTATGTGCCTTTAGCTGGAATCAAACCTGGGACCATTCAGTCCGAGGGCCAACACTCTAACTACTGAGCAAAACCAGCTAGGGCAAACGTTACTTTCTTTTACAGCCTCACTTCCCCTTCTCGTCCCATGAGTTCTAGTCACTCTGAACCATTTGTAAGTGTCTCTTGATGACATCTTTCTGATACTTGCTTGTGTATTTTTGTACATGCTATTCCCTTCCTTTGGAAGGCCCTGGGATGGGTACCTGAGGATCCACCCAGGCCTTAGCTTAAACATTACTTCTTTGCTAAACCTCCCCTTATTTCTCTAGGAGGAACTTATACTTGGATGAACTTGCCCAAAATTCTATGATTATATTTCTCATGTTACTTCAGGAATAAAATAAATATTTTTCTTCTCTATTAGATTATAATTCTCTCAAAGATATAGATGATTACAAATGAACAAGATGGGAAACTCATAATTAATATCTCAGTTGACTGGACAAGTACTGCCCTGTGGTTTGTCTGGTTCTCATTTTTTCCCATGCTTGAATTTAAGTGCATGAATGGAAGGTAACATTCAAGATTTAGAAGATTTCCAGCCATGGAAATTGTATTGGACACTTGTTATTTGGACTGTCCAATATCCAATCCCTTCCTCCTTCATTTAGAGAAGCATTTGGCTCTTTTCTTTGGTAACAAGCTCTCCTCTGTGTCATGTGAATGTCATGGCCTTCACCCCACTCTTTCCTTAGCCATGGGGTCCTCTCTTCTGGGAAACAGAATGTTAATAAAACGAAGAAAAACAGAGAGTCAAACCACTGTGACGGCAACACCGTGAATGACAGTCCAATAATTCTTCCTCTCTAAAGACTGGGAGTACCCCTGATTTCTGTCCCTTCCTAAGACCCATCATTCCAGGTGTCTTTGCAGTTATTTTTATTTTATTTAAGCTAACTAGAAGCTAATTAAGTATTCACCACCTGGGCAGAATGCAATGTTTTATTTCAAGAATCTGCCTCCGGCCCTTGTCTTTATCTTGAGCAATTTCGGCACAAGCGCCTACCAACGCAGCCTCTCCCCCCGTCTGCACATTACTGCAGAGCTGAGAGCAAACCCTGAAGTCTCCTCTTTCACTTCATTTCCTTCTCACAGTTATAAAACCTGCAGACACGTGTGAATTACTTCTTGCTTCTCATGTGACCCAGAGATCGCATCCACACGTTATTTACACCTTTGTGCCGATCATTATCTGTTTTGACAGTCACCCTTCCCGCTCACCACATTTCTAAAAGTTAATATCTTTTTGCCAGCAACGGGTCTCACCCATGGTGTCCCTACAAGGTTAGGCAGTTGATGAGAAATCAACAGGGTACATTTATCGAGTCAGATGCTGGGGGGCATTTCATGTTTATGAAAGGGAAAACTGAGTGAGGTTGCTTGCTTTCAGAGGAAATTAGTACTTCTCTTTGACTCGGGGAAGACTAACTGTCTTAGTGGTTTATATTCCACTCCTTCATCTCATTTTAAGTAAAAAGAAAGAGCGGAGCCTTTACCATCCCGATATAGCACATAACTCATTCAGCTTGTCTTAGTTTTCAGAAGATGTGAACATTAGCATTCAGGGCAGAATTCTCAGAGAAAGAGTTAATACACGTAAACATGTCAAGTAGAAGAGGGGCTGAAACTAAATCAGACAAACTGCAAAACTTCTTATAGAAAAAGTATCCACAAAAATGTGAAAATACAGTGAACTCTCTGAGTCAACACAGTAGTCAAAGATAAAAATTAGAACTGCAATGCCATGGGCAAATTCTAGCAGTAATAGAAAATCAACTTCCCCAGAGAAAAGTTTTATTCTTATATTTAAAAAAAAAATGGTATGATATAATATCACAAAATCAGTCAAAAAGCACGTTAAGCCCTGGCCAGTGTGGCTCAGTTGGCTGGAGCATCATCTCATGCACCAAAAGGGTGCTGGCTTGATTCCCAGTTAGGGCACATACCTAGGTTCCAGGTTTGATCCCCGGTTAGGGCACATTCAGGAGGTAACCAATCGATGTTTCTCTCTCACAATCAATGTTTCTCTTTCTCTCTCTTTCCCTCCCTTCCCCTCTCTCTAAAAAAAATAAAATAAAATAAAAAAAATCAATAAAGACATATCCTCAGGTGAGCATTTAAGAAAAAGCATGTTAACCCTATATTTTCAGATATTGGCTCCCTGTGAATTATGAATGCCAAGTATATTGCATGTCTGTTAAGGTTATAAACTCAACCTTTATGATCCACAGTAAAAGTGACTGGTAAAATTTACAGTAAATTGTTTTTACCCTAGATTTGAACTACCTCAAATTGCACAAAGGTTTTCCATTGTGTTCTCTTATTTCCAAAGAGTGAACATGACCACCGGGAAACTGCTTCCCACATCTGGCGGAGGTTATTTAGGATAAGCATCCATGAGACTACAGTTATAATGCAATATTATATTTTATACCTAATGTCTTTCCAAAAAAGTAAATACCTACCATGACTGCTGATCAATGACACAAATGCTTTGGACAGAGAGAGTTCAATGCACAAATGTCTGCCTTTATGTAAATGCATTAAAAAGAAGATCTCTATTTAGATCCCCTGAGTTAATGCCCAATTAACGCCAGATTACTTAATCCATTAGGAATTAATTTTCTTCTCTCCTATAACGGGGAGGATAATATTAGTTATAAAAGTGCTATGAACTATAAAATTTAAGATCTTTTACATAAGATATGGTATAATTTCGACATCAAAATGCACTACGCTGCAAATTCCACAGAACCTCGGAAACACCGTAACGACATATCGGAAGGGGAAACTTTGAAGCCGGCCTCTCTCCACGTACCTGCTTCGTAGGTGGTGGCATGTGCAGTCATGCTCCACGTGCTTGACCTTCTGTTTTTTGTTACCATGACCGAGAACTCGTACATTGTGTTCGGTTTGAGGCCTGTTGCTGTGTAACTCAGGGATGTTGTGTCTTCTGACTATACAAGTGGGAAAGAAGCAAAGAGAAAAGGAAATGAACTCTATCAACTTGGTAAAGCAAGACATGTAAAAAGACCATCAAATAAGGCAACAGGAAAAGAGTCTAGAGCTAGGACGTAGCACTGACTTCACATCCTTCCTGTCAACTGGTTTACAGCAGCTGACTGGACATCCAGGAGGTGATCCACCAAAGCAGGCGGTTTGCTGTTTCAAGGAGCAGCTAGCTGACGCGTCTTCCCAAGTGAGGCAATAACCATGGCCACAAGACCAAGCCTGTTTCCTTCTGTCTGTCAATTTCATCTTTAAGGTTATCTGCACTGATTTTAACTTCAAGATATTTACAATAATAAAAAATTTTTAGTTTTTAATGCTATGCATTTTACAAAGATCATCATGATAACAACACTAATTTTTCCACTGGTAATAAATTGATTTTTAGAGTTCTGCTTATGATTTTTGCAAAGAAGCTTTATGGTACACATTTTTAGTGGTTTAAGAACCTGTTTGGCTATTATAAAGAAAATGGACAGAAGCAACGTTGTGCCATGTGGTTTTCTTTTTTGTGCATACTTCACAGGAAACACACATTTAAGTTGGTCACCAAAGCAGCTGACCAGGAAGAACAACAAATTGGATAAATATAAAAGCATTACATTAGTGTTAATATTATTTGTGTTCTCAATCTGTTTTTTGTTTGTTTTTTGGTCTTTTAAACAACAGGTTAAAGATATTTTAGTAGAAAGTAAATTATCTTTATTGCTTACTCAAAAGATCAAATGGTAATGAAGTAAAAAACAGGGCAATCTTTCAGGGTAATTCATATTTCCCATATGATCAGGCAAATTTAAAACTTATTTATATCTCTTATAAATATCAATTTATGTTTGGTATTTAGATCTTTATCTCCTTCCAAAGTTAAGTATTTACTTTGACTTTTATATTTATTATATTTGTTACATATCTATGCCTAGAAAACCAAGGAAAGCTCTCTTTCCCCACCTATGTCATACCTATGTGGTATGTATTTTTTACTCTACTATGAATCCTCCTTAGATTATAGCTGTGAAAATCTTACATTTCATTACAAAAACAAATAAATATTTAACTGTACAAATAACATTTTGATGATGTGACTGTCTATCCTATTAAAGCAATGACCTCATAAACATCTCTCAGAAGCTCTTCTTAAAAACAGCTATAAAAATGTGTGCCCTAAATAAATGTGTAGACTCAGAAAGATGGAATCCCGTCAACTAAGACACAAAATGGGCAGCTGTGTCTGACATGCTGATATATATTACTTCCAATCTTGCCCTTCTTCACTATTATCACGAATGCCTATAAGTCTTAGAGATGGGAATAAGGGGAGAGATGTGACCATGAGAAATGTTTAGCTAGGAAGGAAGGATCACATATCATAAAACTAGTCTCTTTGAGCATGTTAGACACCAGTGGCATCTGGGAGGCCACTAAGCAATACTGTCCTTGTTTGTGGTCTAGAAGGACACACTTGCATTCTATAAATACCATGAATTCGCTGAGTTTTCTTAGGAACCTCATGGACAGTTGCTGCTCAACATAAATCGTGAGCCTAGAAGTACCTTGGGGAAATCATGACCAGTTATTTTTGTGAGCATAGAATACCCAGGCACTACCTGTCTAAGCCTCAGTTTCCTCATCGATAAAACAGAGATAACCACAGTAGAGACCTCATGGCATTATTTAAAGTGTGAAATAAGCCAAGTGAAACATAGTGTCTGGCCCAGAGTAAGTATTAAATAAATGTTGGCCACAATATTCCATGCATTGTTTAATGCTCTGTATAATTTTTAGGCACGTGCCCAATTTCATTTTGAGTTGTCAGCATCTTGAGGGCAGAGATGGTCTTGCACACCTTTGTATCTCCTGTAACACTCATGCTACATCTGGTAAACACTAGTCAGTAGTCAAGGACTCTACTGGGAATCAAAATTCATATAAAACATCATGTGATTAATGTTTCATAGAAAAGAAATTATAGACTATTTCTCCACTTGATAAAGAAAATCCATATATTGAATTTTGGACAATGAAAATATGAATGTCTGGATTGTGGCTTGATTTGGGACTTAATGAAGGAGAAAGGTACCCCTGTGAGGAGAGCCCTGGGTATGCCCTCAGGTGATCCTGAGTTTCAGCTCTAGTTTAATGGGGAATGTTTGTCGAGTTACACAGCCTATTACGTCTTCATAAACACAGCTACACACATACTTAACTGTGAAGAATCTTACTTATCCTTTTTGCAGTAGGTGTGACTATCCCAATCATATAGATGAGAAAAATGGGATTGAGCAAGTTAAGTGACACGGCAGGACACAGTGAAGCCAACTCTTGAGCCCAGGTCACAGGACTCCATGTATGTCTATATTCCCTCTATCTTGTGTATGCCCTGCCTACCTTAGAAAGCCGTAGCGGTGAGTGAGATGAAATAATAGCTATGGCAGTGGTTTGAAAAGTTTGAAATGCAAAACCAAAGCATTCTATGACCATTATTTGTAAAATCTAAATTTACTGCATGTCTTTCTAGTGGGTCAGATATGTCCTACCTACAGTTACCCTTGCTATCTCACCTCCCAACTCTTTCTTCTAACGCTTCTTCTCAGGGGTAGATGTAGACTGCACATGTGTGAGAAGAGGGGTTGGATGGTATTAATTGGAAGACTTGGGTCAGGGAAGGCAAGGGGGTGAGAAACAGTTAAACTCATTTTCTATTTCCAAACTTCAATCCATGAGAGAAATCAGCCTCTTCTTACAGAGGACAGTTTTGGGTTGGGCTTCACTTTCCAGGCATTCGTTGTGAAACTCAGTAATTCTGTATCTGCTGTATTAACTATTCAACTGAAATTACTTGCCCCACTCAAGAAATTTTGGAACTCAAACTGTTCTGCAGAGAACAACCATTGTCCTTCAGAACATTTCACATACTGGCAAAGTACCCAAGGCCTTTTTGTGAAATGATTGTAACAAAGCATAGCAATTATGATCATAAAATTTTTAAAGTCATCATTTTAAAGTAAACTTAGAATTGGGCAATCTGTATATAAAGAGATTTTTTAAAAATGCTACATATGTTTCATTGGTTGTCTGATCTGATCATGTTACCTCTATCTATAGTTCTGTTGAGTCTTAAATCTAATACTATAAGGAGATGGATAGGACACTTATAACAATATGTTCTATCAATGATGCTATTTGGACTTGCCTGGAGAGTTTCTCCAAATACCTGACCTAGCAGGGTGGCAATACCAAGGAAAACTTTTTTTTTTTTTTTTTTTAAATGATTTCAACTAAAAACTGATTTATGATGAAATGTGAATTTTATTCCATTTAAAAGTTAAAAGAGACTAGAAGAAAAATGAACACTGCTGCATGAGGAAGGGCTGACTTACAAAACTATGGGTGGGAGTTTGCTTTATCTTCAGGGTCTTTATAGTCAGAAGTTCCCAAAGGATATGGTCATCCCCTAATCACCACTGGGTGGAGGCTGGATTAAGCAAGATGGCAGTTTGTTGGCAAGAGCACTGGATAAAGTATCAGGAGATCCAAATTCCCCTGAAAGCAACCTTTAGGGAAGGGATATAGAAGCTGGAGTGCCAGAGGTGAGCTATTGTTTACTTGGTTGTTGGGTAACATTTATTCCCTTGTATTCAAAGCTACCTTATTTATTCCACATCACCATCTTGTAGGCTTTATATTTTAAATGTGTTCTCATATATTATCTCTCTTGACTAGTTTATGAATTCTTTGGAATCTATCTATGGAGCCTAGTGTATTACTCGTTCTAAAATTAGAAAGAATAATGTTAAGTAACAACTAAACCATGTTTAACTGCACATTTCTAGGGACATAGTAGGTGCCAGATAATCACTTGCTGATCTGCTCATTTTTGTCTACATCTGTGTATTGTTTGTACATACTAACATTGTGGCAGGCTTAGGCGATAACAAAGTTGCCCTGGTATATAACAATTTGTTGCAATTCCTGTGGCTGGCTGATAGAGATTTGAAATTATTAAGGACAATGCCTCAATATGTATTTCAAAGGCACTCTTAGGGGGGTTGTGAAATGACTGAGTGATAAGACAGGAATAAGGAGCCTTGCCTAGTTCCTATTAGTTAAAGGAGAGTGTACACTGTGGGTTTTCTTTATTAAATGAGGGCATTTCAAGGCTAAACAGAGGAAGTAGAGCTAATGGCTTAGAGTGCTTTCCAAAGATATTATAAAAATCTTCCAGTTATGTATTCCCAGTCACATTCACTGTAAGATAGGTCCTCTGTAACATTAATAGGGTTGCCTTTGGTGTCAATCCAGATTCCAAATGAAAAGAAAGACACCAAAATCCATCCAGAAAATGAATGTGGAGCTCTGCTCTTTTCAAAGGAAAATGGGATTCCTTCCTACAGTATTATTTATTTACCAAATTATTTCTGCAAACCCAGCATCTGGTGGGATTCAAATACCATTTTGCATCTCTTGATATTTTTCTACCGTGCCTTAGAATTGTTTCTTAAGACACAATCATTCCTATGCTAATTTTAGCTACTGAGTTATTAAAATGCTTTGTTTTTCCATGTAGTGTCACTGTAGCAAGACGAGTCATGACTCTCAGAAAGCACATAAAACAATGTATTAAACAAACAACAGTTCATTTAAAATTTCATACAATCAATGAGAATTTCACCTTGTATTTTGCATTTGCAGAAAAGCTGGTCCTCCACCGGACAGTGTAAAGCCGCACCTCGGACGTTTTTTGGTTCTTCGGGACAGAGTTGTCTGCCCAGCTGACCCTCACAGCATCATGGGTTAGAGCCACAGCCTGCACACCTACTGGTGGGAGCATGGGGGTGGAGGCGTCTGGGGCCGAGGTGGGGAAATCATCAAGCAAAGGGTAATAATCAACCGGGTCAGTGGGGTCTGGGTTTAAAAACCCCCAAATGAAACAAACAAATACATACATAAATAAAAGTTACAAAATAAATATCAGTGGTAACACATCACAATGAGTTAAATGCATGGCAATAATGATGAAAGGGAACGTGAGAAGAACAGAAAAAAAATACAATTAATTCAATCGGAAAACTCATCGGAAACAGTATTGCTATATTACAACAATGACTGTTTTCTATAATGTACTCATTTCCTTGGAGCGGCTTTAGCAATCTGACTTTCATTTTCAGTTATATTTTTAAAAAGTCCATTTCTTCTTGAAATGTTGCCCATTACTTCTTCAAGGATCTAGCATGGAAAGTATCAGATTTAGAACTATACAGATAACTTAAGATAAAAAGGAAAGTCCAGTTTATTTCTGCCTGCAAATGAAATATAAGCCTAGCTAATACCTGGTTTTATATTGTTGTTCATTGATTTGTTTCCTTCCCTTCTAACTTGATTTTGTTTCTCTAATGTTTTCATGATCGCTTAGCTTATATCTGCATAAATACTGTTTAGGCAGGAAACAAGCAAGAAATAAGATCAAAGGGCTCTTAGGTCTACAACAACCTGTCTATGGCTAAGATTGCACAAAACCAGACCGACCAAGTCCATGGTCCACATCGTTCGCTGGTTAGTCTGATAATTAGGCTTCAGGTACTATTGGTGTAGCCTGTTTTCTTATATGGAAATCCTTACAGGAAGTGTCGAACTGTCCATTTTTACCCACATTCTTATATAGTCAACTAAGCTTTTAGTCTTTTCAGGCATTTCTGTTTTCCACAGTCTGTGTTCTAAAATTTCAAGTTCCATGGAAAGACTTTGTATTACTGGGTGGGGAGACAGAATGAGCTACCATGTGTACACACATACTTTGATCAATAATATTGCCAGAATCTGCATAATGATGTATGTGGTTTTATAAAATTCTCTAGAAGAATCTTGTATTCATTTTTATGCTGGGTATATCAGAATCAGGAGAACTTATCTTGTAGCCTTAATAAGTGTCCAATTTTGAGCCTTTTATTTTATACCTAAGATATTTAAATTTTTAATAGTTTACCTTTAAATCATGTAATGTGCATTCTCAGTAACCAAAAAACGAGACAAGCTCTCAGGCTGGGCATACGATGCCATTTGGGGAGACGAGGCCTGCTGGAGTGTAGAGTATTGGAAGCGGTGTGCACACAGGCTTTATATTTTTAAACAGCCTAGTTCCAAGTGCAGCGGCTACTGGCAGGTTCTGATGATCACTTTGTCCACGGCATCTCACCTGCGGAGCCCCTACTCATCCCTCTGTTTTCCAATGAACTATTTAGGAGTTTACTGGGCCATGTTGTTTGGAGCAAAATATAAAACCCGAAAACAAAAACAACAAAAGGAAAGAAAAAAAAACGAGAAAGAGAGAAAGAAAAATGTGTGTTTAAAATTTAATGTCAGAGCCCAGGCTTTCTGTATTTCCTTCGACGTGTCTTTTTATTCAGGGCTCCTTTAAAGCCAGGTGGATTTATGAAATGATGAAGGGGAGCGAAAGACACTGCACCTCCAGGAGGGTCCCAGTCGGTCGGCAGCCGCCAGGCCACAGTGGGGCGTCATCCGACCTGTTTCCGTTCTTAGCTGGCTTTCCAAGAGGAGCGCCATACGCCTGGGCGGCCTACTCGAAATTACAAACTCCTTTTTGACCAAGCTACGTTAATGACTTACCCTATGTGTTGTTTCTTTGCTTAATCTAATTTTGTTGGTAAACCTACAGTAACTTGGTAGCCTTTTGCAAAGTAGTGATTCTACTTCGAGAAACGGTAACGCTCGATCCCGCTCTTTCTGAATGCCAGAGGTGTACTTTCTCATGACTCCTTGTTGAGTTTCTTGAAGCCTCGGTTTCAAAACGCATCCCTCAAATTCCAAGTAACGCTGTTTGAGGGCACCTATCTGTGGGCTTCTATAATTCAAAGATTTCTCCTTTTAGACCAATTTTTCTTGACTATTTTAGGGAATCTTTTTTCAAGCATGGTTTGTCATTCCACTCATTGCCTCCTTTACAGCTGCATTGTTTAATATAATAGTCACCAGTTAGAGAAACAATTTAAATTGAAATGAAATAAAATTTAAAATCCACTTTGGTTGCACTAGCAAATCCCAAGTGTTTAACGGTCACGTGAGCTTGATGCCTCTCCTACTGAAGAGAACGGATACAGAGCGTTTCCAACAAAGCAGGATGTTCTAGCGGGTAGCAAGCACTGCTCTAAATTCATATATGCTAAATATATTGCAAATTCTCTTTTCCTCTCAGTATAGAAACTGAGTAGTTGAAACAAAAACATCCTTTTTTGCTAAACAACTTCTTTTCCGTTTTCTTTATACTCCTGGGTGCCTTATATGCCATTGATTTTCAGGGGTTATGTTCAAGAGAGTAAAAAAAAGTTAAAAACCAAAAAAAAGACAAAATATAGCCTCAAACTTTCTGCTAAAAAGAGAAACCTACTCAATTCCTAATGGATGTTTTAGTCAGAGCCCTTGAATTTCTCAGTCAATATATTTATATTCTAAAAGAGCTTTTTCTAAAAAAAGGGCACGATTTTACATCTGGATTGTACTTCATCTAGTCGTGGATAAAACGGTTGAAAATAAACAAGTTCGAACCACACGCCTCATTATTCCCCTTCCCTCTTCCCTCCTCCAGGCTCAAAATGTCCTGTCCTCGTGAAAACAAGAAATAAAAGGCTTTACGGCAAAAATGAAACGCTGCCCACCCAGCTGGCCCGGTGACACTGTCCTCAGCTCCGATGCTGGTGTTTTCGGGGCGGGTGGGCTC